GGGGGTGGGGGTGGGGGTAGAACCTCTCCCAGGCGGGAGATCGGATTCACCTACAGCCAGGCGGATCACGCGCGACCTTCCCTTGAACCCCGCCAGGAAATCACCGCGAAATCCCTCATTCCCATAAATTAAAGACGACCACGGTAGCAAGACAGATCGACGGATCGAGGGCAAACAACAGTGGCCTCACAGCTGTCCCTGCCAGCAGGGATCTTTAACACCCATGGGCCCTGGGGCTGGGAGTGTTTGCGGTAAGACAACATCACACTGGTCTCCTAAATCAGTTTTGTGCTGTGAACCAACAGAAGGTCTCTGAGTGGGAGCCAGAGACCCCTGCTTTCCTGATCATTTATTTAATCAGCTCCACTTCTAGTGGGGGTGATAGGGGAGCAGCTGGGACTGGCAGAAGGAGAGGGGAGAGCAGAGAACGTTCCTCTTGAAACAAACTTCCAGTAACTTTCTGTTCCTGAAGCCGCCTCCGCCGGCCAGTATGGGGCCCTTTCGCCAGGCACGACTCACCCCCCAACCTCTCCAGCAGAACTCTGGGGTCCAAGCTCCTAACTGAGGACAACTGGATTTTGGGACCAGGGATAACTGCAAGACGTTCCCATGTCTTATACCCCAAGTTCAGCAATTTCTGAGTCAGTGTATTTGAAATATTCAATTCCGTCGACCCCCTTATGTTCTGAAGGTTGGTTCTGGAAACATGGGCCTAATAACATTCAGAGCGGCTATTTATTGAACTCATGTGCCAGGCACAGTGCTAATCTCAGGGATCAGTGCATTTAACCTTCACAGTGACTCTGTATGGAAGGTGCTTTTGTTATGATACCATTCTGCAGCTGGGGAAACAGAGGCTCAAAGCAATTAAGAAGTTTTCCAAAGTCACGCAACCTGTCTGCCTGCCTCACGAAGAATTCTGGAAAACACATTTCTTTTTTTTTTTTATGTTTATTTATTTTTGAGAGAGACAGAGTGTGAGCAGGCAAGGGGCAGAGAGAGACAGAGACACAGAATCTGAAGCAGGCTCCAGGCTCTGAGCTGTCGGCACAGAGCCCCATGCGGGGCGTGAACCCACAAACAGTGAGGTCACGACCTGAGCTGAAGTCGGACGCTCAACCAATTGAGCCACCCAGGTGCCCCATGGAGAACACATTTCTAATCCATGGTTGATTAATCTTCAGAGATAGTTTAGCAAGGGCATGTGAGACACACAGCGCAAAATGCAGGTGGTGTCAAACCCTCAGTAATCAAGAGAAATAATATCTGAATGCAACGTTTTTAAAAAATCAAAGTTAAGGGGCTCCTGGGTGGCTCAGTTGGCTAAGCGATCGACTTTGGCTCAAGTCATGATCTCGCAGTTCGTGGGTTCTAGCCCCCCGTCGGGCTCTGGGAGCCCGGAGCCTGCAGCCTGCTTTGGATTCTGTGTCTCCCTCTCTCCCCACCCCTCCCCCCCCCCGC